AAGCAGGCAAACGATGTGGCCTGTAAATTTTACGACATTTTTTCACGCAGAAGGGGAAATATGGGTGACATTGACGGGCTCACCTCAGCAACCCTCATGGGAGAAGGAAGGTTCGCGATCAGCAAGACAGGGGATTTAATATCTCAATTTTTCAGTCTCGTAGGATGTCCCAGTCTCCAAGAAAAGGAGACGGAGTCCATTAGCCAGTCAACTGCCGTCATAGAGTACCTGAAAATGGGCCATTTTGAACTCATAATTTAATGGGAAGTCGACATGCTCGTCAAGCATTAAGAGCGAAGTTTGAGGTGGCTCACACCGACTAATGCTTGTTCGGGAGGAAAAGAAGAAGTACAAGTCAATTTCCCCTCGTGCCTTTCTGTTGGCTGTCATAATCCAGAGGATCAATCATTTGCAAAGAAATAAATTAATAGCATACCTAACATATGGGTCTTCAAACTCGGCATTTGAGAATGATGTTTTTTGTTGGTTTATCTGCTGGAAGTTGAGAAAAGCTTCTGAGTACTGCTCCAGCACTTGCAAATTCTAAAATAAAAAAAGATTTTTTGCTGAATATCTATCCCATTTGGTGTGGTTACGGTGTTTCGATCGGGATAACCCCCTGTTAGGCCGTTACGTTGTCCTAGGCATAATCTCGACGGAGCACGTGTCGGAATTTTTAACTAGTACTTGCGCTATCAGTATGGTGGCATCATAAAAAACATGCACATTACTGGCTGCCGTTGACAGTTTGCGGATATTACGCAGTTACCTCATTGAGGTTGGTGGTTGAGTGTCAACTATTCACATCAACCTTCGGACTGAACCGTAAAGCTTTATTTTGACTGATTTACTCTTATATGATGATTAATTTTTAAGGAGATAAGAAAGTCGAAATGACCATTTTCTCCCCACAAAGACTACTATACGGAAATTTTGAAATACTTCGGCAGCAAAAGTCCGGATCCTGTCCTTAAACTGTATTATATTACGGCGCTGAAGATCAGTTCTTAATATGAAACAGCTGGTCGTATCCTCCTTATCTGTATTTGGGCTAAATTCTAGGGATTTCAACTCACACAAAATGACGGGATAGAGACCCCCAACCATCGGCACAAAGAGGTTCAAGCACAGTTGTTCACTTGCTCCATGCGCAGGAAGGTCGTGAAAATCAAAGACCAATTAAATCCCGAGGAGTAACCTGAGGTATTGTATCTCATCCAGCGCCAAAGCCGTTCTTGTACCTACATCGGTCGGACTGGACGCACACTCGGATCGCCCATACACGAACATAGGCAGGCTGCGCGGCGAGGCGAGGTGGCGAATTATCACAAGCGGCTGGCCACACCTTCGAAATGGATCATGGATTTAACATCTCAGAGACCAAGACGACTGCCCCCTCCGCAAACAATGTAGGCCGCGAATAAATTGACGTCTGGGCCTCGGATGAGAACTCAGTCAATCGATTTATCGATCTACTTGCACGAAAGGGGGAGATAGAGACCCCAACCATCGGCACAGAGGCTCAAGCACAGTTGTTCACTTGCTCAAAGATAGTATCCCCCCGGTTTGGCTGAAAACAACAGCAATCTCTATAAAATTAAGTTACTAAAAACAGGACATTGATGACATCTAATCAGATGAGAAGAATTACCAGAGGACAATATCCTGATGTGACATTAAGGGAGAGACTGGATAGTGATAATAATAATGATAATGCGCTGTCTTGTCACTTTACGAAGCGGCTTTTCGATGGAGTACTGAATAGCCTTTACGAGTTTACAAAGTGCCACAGTCAAACACTTCAAATATGCTGATTACTGTTTATTTTTCTGAGCGCCGTTACATAGATAACACGTTTCTTGTCATAGAGAAGTACATGTTACAAAATTTCCACAACCCGCTCAAAGCAGTCTTCTCTGACATAAAATTCACGAGAAAAGAAGAACAGGAACAGCAGTGGCCCTACCTTGGTGTGTTCATTAGACAAATTCCTAACGGCAAACTTGAAACGACAGTTTATAGGAAGGCGGAGAAGACCACACAGCTTCTCAGCATTCACAACACCCATCCAGTGGCTCACAAACGAAGCTGTTTGAAAACACTTCAAACGGATCCAGACCTATTGCTGCAAACTGGAGGAAAAAGCATGTAAGACATGTTATCTCCGCAACCAGTTCATGCGAAATGGCTATCTGAAGGTATTTATAAATCGGTACGCATGCGGTCGCCCCCGGAGGAACAAACTATAATACCGCCAAGCATATGGCGTTCTTTGCCATACAGTGAGGACGTTTCAGAAGCGACCGAGCGCATTGCTGCGAAACTAGGTGTTGGAATTGCGCACCGGCCCAAGGTCACCATGCGCAGAAAGGTCGTGAAAATCAAAGACTGATTAAATCCCAAGAAGTAATCTGGGATACCGTATCTCATCCAGTGCCAAAGCCGGCCTTGTACCTACACCGGTCGGACTAGATGCACACTCGGATCGCCCAAACACAAACATGGGCTGGCTGCGCGACTAGGCGACGAATTATCACAAGTGGCTGGCCACACCTTCGAAATGGATCATGAGTTTAACCGCTAAGCGACCAAGAAAACCGCCCACTCCGCAAACGAAGTAGGCCGCGAACAAACTAAAGTCTGGGCCTCGGATGAGAACTCAGTCAATCGATTTATCGATCTGGCGTCTAAGCAAAGTGCTCTGCGTAACCACCTCCAGTCTTGCGTTATCGATCGATGATTGGCTGGCACGCCCTATGATTGTCCTTCGTTCTATCGCCGTTAATATCTCTGACGTACACTCCTGCGCGAATTCTAATCTACGTCAGGTTAAAGCAACTGCTTACCCAACATCTATTTAACGGCGATGTTGCTACGGATGCTCGCCGATTGTGTTCGACTAGAACGTTCATTGCAATCTCGGGTCTGGCACTAAACAGTCATGTCCCACTCACCAAAATCCATGTCCTGCAGTCAATAATTTCTGAAATTATTACCTTGATTATTATCTGGAGTACACATACCAGAAATCGCATAGGGAACGCTGAGGACCCACTGAGGGGACGAAACCCTAGCCGATGCGTCATGCAACCATGCATAGACCTAGATCTGGATGACCTGGGATACGCACCCGGACTCTTTGCTCATTGAAATTTAAGTAGCATGATCGGTGAACGTGCTACGTACGTTGGTAGAACGTAGAAAAGATTGGAGTTTCTAGTGGAGACCGGTTCGCTTCATCTTGCTAGCATCATTGGTATTGAAACCGTCAAAACGACACAAACGCCTACCTCAACTTGTTGGGGGCCTAACGAAAACGCAGGCTTCAGCTGTGAAAAAGAGGACGAATGTGCTCACTCGACTCAAACTCTCAGAGTGCAAAACACAGTGACAGTCGTGTTGTACACGCGTATGACATTTCAAAAGTGCATTAAGCCGATGTACCACGGGGGATCATGGTGCCACTCATTGGATCACCCGACTGCAATCTGGCCAAGTCCCGAACTAGTGAGCCGTCATACAACATCAGAACCCTCAAGCATTTCTTCAGACGACGTCACTGCCCTGATTTCATCAACACCACACGATCTAGAAACTCGGAACGTAGCTCGATGTCTACAGGACAGCCCTATTGACATTCCAGCTCAGTACTTTTTACGCACATTGAGGCTGTGTCTTAAGCACTACTGAAAATTTGTTGGCACGTAGTACCATCAGGTTAGGGGCATCCCGATAGACCCTGCGATATCGGAGCTACTCACTGCAGCGGTCTTATAACAACTGGAAGATGTTCCAACTCTCAGATCGAAATTTGGCCCCGTTGCATAGAAGACACCCTCGTTATCATAATGAAATGCGAAGTTAAGCGACTGTACCAGAGTCTGGATGGCATCTTCCCCGATGTGCTATGTGACAGTTCGACCATCGGTTTCGATGATGTCCACCGTGTGCCCCACAGTTGCAGCAGCAATGGGAGCAGGGACGGTGACTTACGCAGGGGTTTATAGTACCGGTAGACTTGCGTAGCATCTACCTACACTCTCTCCTCCTCCCTCGCCCGAGCCCGGTGTCAAGACAGTGTCAAGAAGACCGGAGACGAGAGAGGCCGCAGGTGGATGGCTCGGACGGATCCTCACCTTGGCGTTCCACCACACCCCCTGGCCCACACAACAAATAACCAGGATTTCAACCAACGCAAGAGAGATTTGGAGGCTGGCACGACCGAAGCCGCACCTGGGCGTGCCGCCAACGCCTGGCTCGGATCCCACACTGTGGTGGGAGTGCCATAAAGGCCACATTAAAAAGGAGCCATTGCAGCCTGACTCTCAGACCGCCTCCGGTCAAGGCGGAGGTCCAAGGTACCCCGTCAGTCGGCAACCTTCCAAGCCACGGCTTTTAGCGCACCGTGATAGCTTCAAGCGCGTCAGATTGTTTATAGTGCGGAGAAAGTGCGCTGAGTCGTCGACCTCACTCTCCCTTCCCACTCCCACACCCCAGCCGCTGTCCGAGCCGGTCAGCAGACTGGAGAGGGGAATGGGCGCGGTGGCTGTCATGGTCGACTGACCATGACTGCGCGCGCCACGGCACGACCTGGCCCCCCATACACACAAAACCAGAATTTCACACAACGGGGGTTGAACGGCGTGTCTCTCACTTGCGTGAGAGTGCCGTGGAAGGTGCGGTTTCAGCCCGTTCCCAGCCCACCAGTCCGCCACTCCACACAGCGCACACACACACAACGCGACGAACTGCGTGAACCGAGAGCGGGCGTCAATCAGCAACCTTCCTATCCACGACGCTTGACGTGTCGGGATAGTCTCGGACTCGAGTCACCCGTGCAGCCGAAGCCGCATGGGGACCGAGTCGAGATGCACACTTCCCACTTGCGTGGGAGGTGGCAGTTGGGTGCATGAGGTGTGTGAGTGTTGATTTCTGGTGGGGTGATGGTGGTGGTGGAGGAGGTAGGGAGTGAGTGAATGTGTGGTGTGGCCGGCGGTTGTCTACCGCAGGTCGTCGTGGATGCGCATGTGGCCGAATAGGCTCATGCGATGCCTGAAATTGCGAGGACAGTGTGGGCAGTTGAGACGAGCTTGGTGGGTATAGGTGGGTGCTCCAGGCACTGGTTCGCCAGTCTCTCTGCGATGGATTCGCAAGTGACCGACCAGGCCGATGCGTGAGGTGAATGTGCGTGGACAGTGTGGGCATGAGAAGTCGGCGGTGTCAGTGTCAGCTACAGAGGAGGCGGTGGTGGTGGTGGTGTCGCGGACGGATGGAACGAGAGTGGGGGTGTGCACGGTGGATGTGTTGGATGTAGTGTGTGTGTCGGGAGTGCGGTCAAGGCCGCTCTCGTGGATGCGCATGTGGCCGAAAAGGCCCATGCGATGCCTGAAGGTGCGAGGGCAGTGTGGGCAGTGGAGGCGAGTGCGGTGGGTGTAGGTTAGTGCTCCAGGCACTGGTTCGCCAGGCTCTGTGCGATGGATTCTCAAGTGACCTACCAGGCCGATGTGTGAGGTGAAGGTACGGTCGCAGTGAGGGCAGGTGTAGTCCTGATCCTCATCCCTGGAGTCGGGGGAGGTGGTGGTAGTGTCGGTTGCTGTGCGTGGGACAGTCGCCTGAGCGGCCGCCGTTGGGGCAGTGGGCGAGGAGGAGGAGGAGGAGGAGGATGAGAAGGAGGAGGAGGATGATGGAAGTGTTGGGTCAGAAGAATTGTCAGGGTTAGTTGGCGGCGGAGAGGAGGAGGAAGAGGCAGGTGGGGGACGATGGTTGGTGCCGTTCGAGAGGCGCAGTTAATCCGAAGATGTCCAACAGGTCCGATTCGAGCCCGAAATGTCCGTTGACATCGAGGACACGTTGGAAGCGGTTGTGCGGCGGCGTTGCTTACTGGGCGAAGTTGTGATTTGCGGGCTTCACGTTTCGCTTTGGCGGCAGCGATGCGGTTGGCTTCGTAGATCGCAGCGCCTGTCTTCACTGTCCTCCTCCAGGTCGGTCGATCGAGTGCGAGCTCATCCCAGTTGGTGGGTTGATTTGCAGGCATTTCAGGGAGGACTTCAGGGTATCCTTGTAACGGCGAATCTGGCCTCCTTGACGGCGAGAACCCCTCGCGACGTCTCCGTAGAAGAGTCGTTTGGGTAGTCACTCGTCGTCCATGCGCACCAGGTGGCCGCTCCAGCGCAGCTGAATTTGCCTCAGTATGGCGTAGATGCTGAGGATTCCCGTCCATTCCAGCACATCAGTGTCGGGGATTCGATCCTGCCAGTTCAGCCTCAGGATGCGACGAAGACAACTGAGGTGGAAGTGGTTCAGACGACGTGCCTGCTTTGCGTATACTGTCCAAGTCTCCGCTCCATACAGTAGCGTCGGCAGGATGTGCTATGTACTTATGGTGGGACAACAGGAAACATCCTCAGTTTCTTGACGTGAGTATAAAAAGACTGTGTGGTGACAGCCTCGTAAATAGTATCCACCAGGAAGGCTCTAATACTGGAGCCATTCAGAACGACGGAAGCAGCCATCCTGCCTCTCACAAAAGAAATTGTGTCCAAATCCTTTTCAATATGACCTTTTGTGCCTACAACTACGGTGATCTGCCTAAGAAGGAATCCACCTACCTATCTCGATTATTCCGGTTCAGAGGATACCCAGACAATTTTGTGTCATAAGACACTCGTTCTAATGGAGAAGTGGTATCGCGGAAATTATAATTCCTGTCAAATACGAGAGGAAGTTTGAAGCGATTGCCCTACAGATAAACAGGTTTGGGATCGACATCACCCACAAACCGGCATCTTTCCTGCGTACAACGCTAGCCGAGTGAAAGATTCCCCGCCTAAAGAACACCAAATAAATATTATTTGTTGAATCCCATGCGTTAACTGTCCTTGCGTTTACGTTGTCCATACGGGTCATCGACTTGAGACCCGCACCAACAAACGGAAGTTATCTATTCGCTGAGCTGACCCGTTCTTTCTAGTGCTCGCATACGCCCTTGAGTGCGACTACCGCTCCAACTGGAACGGTAATGGAGTGCTCGCTATGGATAACACCGAACAGGCGGGAGAATTCTTCGAGGTATGGTACACTAGCACTAGCAGTACCAACAAACATATCGACCCGGAGGTTGACTACGACGTCCTGCATTGAGGGCTGCCCGATCTGTGTCCATATTGGAACAGCAACTGCTAATCTCTACGCGGCCATGTAGGATCTCACTGATTCGGCCTCCCCTACCCGACAAAACGAGCCACAACTGAAACTCACAAAACCTTCCCCACACCCCTGGCATCTATTGCAATACGATGATCACCCCCACACGGACGTCTATTCGGTAATGTAACCTCACCTGCAGTGGCAATTCATCAGCATGTATGTACAACATGTGAACAATAGGGTTTTCACAGGCTTTGCTTATCACCTGATATATAAGCTGATAGAAAACTGCCAGCCGACTTTAAGATATTCAAAAATTGGTACTCTCACCATTCATTCCGTCTGACGGCCGGTTGGTGCAACCGACTTAAAAACTCGCGAGTGCGGCCCAGTTTTTCCAAACAGTCTTCACTCCTTCCTTGTCTTTCAATATACGTCGCCCTAGCCATGCAGTATACACAAATACTTGTCAAGAGGCGCATGATCCCCACTTGTTATGGTTTGAATTTTACTCGATCCCATGCCAACCTCTCACGTACTTGACAATTTTGTGTGCCTCACTTCTGAGGGTTCGAGGTTGGCCTATGGCGTGCTGGCCATCGGTAGTGACCTCGAAACAGCTGCCTGCGTCTGGCGTACTTGTGTCTCAACAAATTTTCTATGTACGTTCCACTTTCTATGTATTCCTCCCATAATTCTATGTATGGACATTATGGCCAAGCCAGTTATTTTGGTGAAACCGGCAAACAGGTTCACAAGAGCATGAGTAAGCTGTGAGACGGAAGGATAAACTCCTATTGGTAGCCGCTCACGCCTCCCCACCAGGGCTCGGCTTTGACTTTGAATGCGTGAGAAAACTGGGCCAGTCGGACGACCGAGTTTCGCGTCTGCTGCAGGAAGCCTGGCACTCAAATGACTACCCGAAAAGTCGGCATATCAATCTGCCATTCGCTTATCAAGCACTGCGTGAATAAATCAGTAGTGAAGCCGGAGGACATCCCCGGCAGATGTGAGCTAAATATGCGACGACTTGTACAGTTTTTCATGCTTTGGCGATGGGCTCGCATGAGAGTTCAGAATGTCGGATAAATAAGCAATTGGTCCCAACGATCGCCTACCTGTCTTCATCTTCTATATGCACTTATGTATATGCACAGCCAGTGGCTAACCTCATGAAATGTTAACCGAAATTCTGAAATGTCTTTTCGACCGGGAAGCCCTCGCAGACTGGTATTCGTTGGCAGTTCACTGGCACCTGGCCCCCTGCCGGTAGATGAGCTTGCGCTCCCGCTGAGTATACAGGTTGTGAACATACCTGTTCAGCCGTTCACGTCTTTCTGGCCCGTCGTTGTGCTTTTGTTGTAAGAATCCTGGTCATGCGTTTGTTGCGAATCCTAGAGTGTTGTGGCACGACTAGATTGAGGGTCCGGCCGTGCCAGCCACCTATGCCCCTCCCGCCTCCGATCTTCTTGACTCTGTCTTGACACCGGATCCAGGCGGGGGGAGGAGAGAGGGCGGTAGATGCTGCGCAGGTCTACTCTCACTATAAACTAATCCATGCGCAAGCCACTCTGTCTTCTTCACCTTGCTGTGGTGCATACGGCGAACATCGTCGGACACGATGGTCGAGCTGTTGGAAGGTTGTGTTGGTAAACCAGCATGCATCAGACTACAGAGGTAAACCCGTGGACGCTCCAAATAATTTAAAGTAGCACCGAATCTTTTAAGGCCAAAATATACCAGAAAATTTGAAGACGACGGTTAACTGTTCGCCACTAGGCGACAGCCTGGACGTGTCGCTGGTCCCCAGTAGATGCCTGGCTCCGCCCAACAAATAGGGGAGATCAGTGAATGCCACTGCCGGCAACATATGTCGACGGAGCGTCGGGGTAAAAATTCTCCACAACCTTCCCGACCCGGCTCGAACTTCAGGTGCATGAACATATGGAGTTGTTTTGTCTTAGCAAACTTTGCTAACATGAATAATGAGATAGACACTTCAAACATTTTCACAATTGAATATCTTGTAAAACTGGAATACAGGGTCTCGGCAGGGAAAACTTTTAAAAACGCAATCTTCTAGTGACGAAAGCAGGCAGCAATATGCATTGGTCAGGTGGTGGTTATGTTATGTATAGTTTGAATAGGTGTCATGAAAGGTATGTACAGTAAGTGGGCTAACTCATGAAATCTCAACAGAAATTCCGTAATGCGTTTTCGTTTCAAAAAGGTTAAGTAAGTAGGGTTCTAAAACTAGTCATCCCACACTATGATTCTATAATGATTCAGTTGCCTCAGGATCCCGGCTTTTGAACAAACCTCTTTACAGATGCATTCAAAAACCACACTCTGTAAAAAATGACTACTTACTTAGCATGCGTTTTTATCATTGATTTTTGATGCCTTTAAAGATTCAATTATATTTCATGGAAAACATGCATTAAAATGTTCATTCTTTTGCTCATTGGGTAGAAAATGACGTCTTTTTCCAATGTTATACTTAAAGGAAGGATATACTTCGGTTTTCAAAAATTTTCCCAATTCCCAAGTAATTTTGAACCCGACCTGCCTTTGCACTTGCATTCAGAGTTCCCAAACTACAGGCCGTATAATTTCCGCGTACGGAAAACCACACATTCCTCTACCGTATTAAAAGAAGACCATATAGGGCTCATAAAATTAAGCAGTTGGTTTGAGCGAAGTTGTTAACTTTACAAGCTACAGTGGTAAATGCAGAGCCATGACGTTTTATGAAGAGCCATTTCACAGAATTAAAAAATCTCGCAATTAGAAACTGTTTAAAACCGAATTATACCCTGCCTTTGAGTGTGAAATTGAAGGAAGACGTAGTTTCATACTGAATAAGCAAACCAATGAATATTTTCATGCATGCTTTCCATGAAATATAACTAAATTTTTAAGGGCATCGAAAATCACAGAGAAAAGTGTATGCCACTTAAGTAGCCATTTTTACGGAGTATAGTTTTTGCATGCAGCCGGAATAAAGTTCGTTCAAAGGCCGGCGTCCTGGGGTGACTAAATTATTATAGAACTATACTGCAGGCTGACTAGTTTTTAAACCCTTCTTTATTAATCTTTTCGAAACGAAAACGCGTTTCGGAACTTCTGTTGAACTTTCGTGAGTGAGCCCACTTACTATAGCAGCTATGCGCTTGAATGCTGATATTAGGAAATTTGTCCAAGGGTGTGTTCAGTGCTGTTCACTATTGAAGGAGCATTTAGACAACTATTCCCTGTGGAAAACGCATAAAAACCACTCAGTCTATGTTTCATAATTTCGACGCACTCTGCGGATTATATTTTGCCGCCCAGTCAGTCTTGGTAAAAACATTTTCGTTATGGTTGCCGACTTTTGGCTCCCTATAGCATCCAGTCTAACCTGTACATGCTAACGTGCCTTACCTTCGGCGACCAAAGGCAAACCAGCTACCTTTTTTTGCAAAACAGTGCAGTCGGTTGGATAAAAGTGATTCTGCCCGGCCGCGCAAGTTTTCTTATCTGTAAATCGACTATCGGTATGGAGAACTATTAACCGAACGCAGCAGTGGCAAACTGCACCGAAAGTTCGATGAGCAGATATTATCTGCAGTGAACGAGGCCGTAGTGACCGTAGGCGATTTTTTGTTCATTTAGAGACCAAAATGCACCAAAATGTCTGCTTAACGGCTCAGAGGCTGTTAAGTCCATGGCTAAGGCGTGTATTGGGAATAGGTGCCAGAGCGAAATGAATTATTTAAAAGCTGCGCTAATATTGGAGAATAAACAAAACAGCAGTTTATTCTCTAAGTGTTTGAATTTGTGTTTTTTCCGTACAGAGTGAGGATGTAGCTTTTTTCCTCAACTGTTCACACATTTATCACCATTTATCACATTTATCACCTCCCTTAATCTGCTTTTAGTGAGAAATGTTGTCTGCAGGGGTATGCAATAGTGGTTATTACTAACACGGCTCAAACTCGGCGGCGTGGACTTTGGGGCTGGACTATGGGCGACGACGGAAATGACTATGCAGAATGGCATTCCTGACAAAGGCAAGGGAGACTGGAATGGCCA